GCTGCCTGACCACTAGGTTACACGGCTCTCTTGCTTTCTGAAGGCAACTTTCAAACAAGTAATGGTTGATTAATTAATTAATTAATTAGCTGATGTTTTTACAGATATATCTGCAGAATTTCAGAATTTGTTCAATCTGCTATTTAATTATTGTGAAAAAATGTTGTTGGAAAACTAATTGTTGAGTTGAATGTTTGACATTGTTTTCATAACTTTCATTTCCCTTTATTAACATCGGAAAGAACCAAAAACAACATTTAACTTACAGTAACATTTTTAACTGTATGGGAAGGTTTTTGTAACGAAACCTTGCAAATCCAAGAAAACACTTTGAGAAAGTAAGATTTCTATTGTTTTAAAAACATAAAGCAATAATTATAACTACAAAGTAACTACCCTCTTAAAGCATTCCTGAACTAAAAACTAAAGGAACTGGGGCACCCACATAACTCCGGTAGAACTGGTGACACCTTTACTAAAGCTGAGTGCTTGCTGCAGCGGGTTCCATGAGTTCGGCTCCAACCTGTGGCCCTGCTGCGTGACATCCCCCCTTTATCTCTCTCTCTCTCTCTCTCTCTCTCTCTCTCTCTCTCTCTCTCTCTCTCTCTCTCTCTCTCTCTCTCTCTCCCTTCCCTGTCACTCTTCAGCTGTCACTATCCATTAAAGGCCATCAAATAAAACCCCTCAAAAAATACATTTATGAAAATAAAAAAACTGAAGAGGCTTGCTTGCACTGTAGCTCCCGTTTTCTGCTGTGTTTTTTACCCGTAGGGCAGCTTTTGTAGAAAAGAAAAAAGTTTTAATAAAGACGTACAGATGTTGTTTAGCTGTGTACAGTGATGACTAACTTTAAACTACATTTTTATCAAACTTTGTTCATTCTTCAAACTCAGAGTGAGGAGCTAAATATGTTGCTTGCCGCAGGAGGCTGATGAACCCCCTTGACTCCTTGCTTAATTGCTTTGCAAAATCTTGTCATGTGAGTGAATCACACTGTCACTGTAGTTGCCTGGCAGCAGAGGAAGGCCCCCAGGAGTCTCATGGGATGACTGCTGCAGGGTGTGCAAATGCAGGCTCAAGTCATCCTCCTGTGAACCGTGTTTTCACCCGAAAGTTTGAATGCAGTAAACATTTTTTTCTTTGTTATTGTGCTTGAATCTTTCTTTCTTTCTTTCTTTCTTTCTTTCTTTCTTTCTTTCTTTCTTTCTTTCTTTCTTTCTTTCTTTCTTTCCTTCTGTCTCTTTTTCAATTCAAAGAGCTTTATTAGCGTGAACAAAAACCAAAGCAATTCACAATAATCACATATTTCATATTACATATTTAATACATTACAATATATTTTGTACTTCTTTTTTTCAAAACAATTCATTAATTAACAATATATATAATACATTTACTCAATGTTGTCAGTGAATCTCCCTCTCTCTTATGTTTTTCACTGTGATATTTAAAAGACAATGTCTGACTTTTCTGGCCCTCTCTGGAACTAATCGGAGAATCTCTGCTTCCCTGTTGTCTGACTGCTTTTGATGGCCTTTGATAAACTCAGTGGAGCAGGCAGAAAAAGCCCCATTTGAAACCTCTGGGGTCAACTCATCATAATCATGCCTACTTGAGCTGACAAAGGCAGATGAAGGAAACCTTTGAAATTTCCTTTGTTCTCCCCTGTCAGACCAGACAAGAGTGCATCCACTAGGCCACGGCGCAGCTTTCCTCACAAGCTGGGAGAAGCATCGCAGCCAATTTAAGGCCAAGTCAATCAGCACGGTAGCAGAGGGAGTGCTGGACTGTTGTTGATGATCTCCCCAGAGAACAGGCTCTATCATGCCTTTGGTTCATTAACTCTCCAACCAATTGTAGTCCAGCCTCAAAGTTCAGCTCCTTTGTGTTAGTGTGTGCGTGTGTATGCGTGTGTGAGTTCTCATTAAAGCCAAAGGATCCCTGACAACGGCACCAATGTAAGACCCCCAACAATCTGCTTCATCTGGAGCATACGAAGCTGTTTCATCCTGTTGTTAGATAACACAATGAGAAGCATAATGTCAAGTCATATTATGTATTCCAGGAAAGGCATAACATTTATGTTCATCCAACAAATGAGCATAAATTATTCAGTTATGGGACAAACCAAAAATTATGTGTATATGTCGATGTGTTAGAAGCAGGAAACATGGGCAGTGTGAGGATTTGAGGGACTTTGACAAGGGTGAAATCATGATGGCTAGACGACTGGGTCAGAGCATCTCCAGACCTGCAGCTCTTGTGGGGTGTTCCCGGTCTGCAGAGGTCAGTATCTATCAAAAGTGGTCCAAGGAAGAAAGAGACAGGGGTCATAGGTGGCTAAGGCTCATCGATGTATGTGGAGAGTGAAGGCTGGCCCGTGCGGTCCGATCCAACAGACAAGCTACTGTAGCTCAAACTGCTGAAAAAGTTAATGCTGGTTCTGATAGAAAGGAGTCAGAACACACAGTTCATCGCAGTTTGTTGGTCTGGGGCTGCAGAACATTATGACCACCAGGGTGCCCAGGTGATCATAAAGTTATGGCTGATCAGTGTACATTTCTCTGTATTTACAGTTCGCAATTTTAAGTATGGCCTAGTGTCTAATACATCTTTCCTTTAACCTTGACAGGCATCCCCCCTTCAAGCTGTGTTATTTTTAGACATGCTAGCAGCATGGCTCTAGGGACTGCAGTGTCGGTCTGTCAGTTGTGAGGTCCATCACTTTGGTCTCAGCAACCGTTGCCATGAAATCTTGTAGCCTTTCATTGATATGCTGATTTTCTCTCTAGCACCACCAGCTGGTCAAAGTTTAAACTTATCCTGGGTGTGAAATATCTGAACATTTGTGAGGTTAAGTGAAATATCTTGACATGTATTGGATGGATTGCCATAAAATCATGTCCTCAGGTTGAATTGTAATTTCTTTGGTGATCCCCTTACCTTTTATCTAGCACCAACATGAGGTCAAAATCTGAATTGGGCCAATACTTTATGATCCAGGATGGTAAGATTCACTGGTTTGCATCGGTGTACCAGCATGAAAGTTCAAGATTAAAAAAGCATGCATTGGATACAAGATGAGTTCCAGATGAACTCAGATAACATCTTAGCATGGGTAAAATCCAGTTTATTTATATATAATTATTAGTACAGGTCTTACACCTTTATTATTTAGAAATGTGACCAATAATTTATAGATAAACAATAAAATGGTTCTCAAGCTGCTTTAGTAGAACCAAAGATATAAAATCAAACTATATGAACCATATTGAATTGCATAGCATAATATCCCCTTTGTTTGGATTGTATTGCATTGTGTTGAACCAAGTTGTGTCAAATTGCACTGCATCACAAACGGATTGAATTGTATCATATCACATTGGTAGTTACTTCAGATATATCTGTATTGTATCAGATTGCTTGCAGACTTGCAGTGCATCGAGATGTGTGTCACATCAGCCTTAGTGATGGAGATGCACATCCTTAGTGTGTTAGTGCTAATTAGCAAATGTTTGCACGCTAACACACAAAATTAAGATAGTGAACATGTCAAACATTACACCTACGAATCAGCATGTGAACATTGTCACTGGAAGCGTGATGGTATGCTAATGTTAGCATTTAGCTCAAAGCACTGCTGTGCCAAAGTACAGCCTCACAGAGCTGCTGACGTGGTTATTGACTTTTAGTCTTATTTAATTCGATTTGCATGGCTTTTTTGAGTGATTGGACAGTGACACAGAAAACACACATGACATGCATATATTAAATTATACAACTGTCCTGTGTCTTGTGTGATGCCAAAAAAAAAAAAAAAAATTTGTGGCATCACACAGGACACAATTCCCAACTGATTAGCAACAGTGAACTGGCCTGTAAATGTCTGTCATGTATTTTGTAAAGCAATTTCATCTTGGAAGCGCCGATTGTGGAGCCCAACACAACAGTTGAGTCAGGAAGCACAGATTCTTTCCAGCACTAACCTCTGTTGTTGTCAAATCCATCAAACTGTCAATCAGTTTATTGTCACATTCTTGTACCATTCACTTGTAACATCTCAGCTTGTGATTGAGTATGCAATCTCTGAAACCTAGATGCAGGGCTAACAAGTGACAGCTCTAATTCTGCCCAAGGACAAAGATGAAGGCTGAATCTCAAAGGAAAATCCTTGGTCACTTGTGTGCAGCGTGGAAATGCCAGCTGACAATGTGACCTCCCCCCATCTGCCTCAGATAGCCACCAGAGAATAAACCACTGCATATCAATTCAGAGGGACAACACTGTAACACCATAGGAAGGTTAGGCTCGGAAACTCTACACAACTCTTGTATCTACTGAAAAACTTTATTTTGCCTCATCTTTCATCAACGAGAGTAAAAGATAGTGTAAAAGAGGACTTCATCATTAAAGACTTAGGATAGGTAGAACATATTTTAAACCATTTTAAATACAATATCACGATTTTGGCTTGTTGAAACTGATTCCTTCTGTTGTTTAAGCATTTATTTCTCTTGCTCATGCAGATGGTCAGCTTTGGATTGAAAAGAGGAATACATTGGCGAACCCTGCCACCTGCAGGCCTTATGACATTACTGCAGTAGTCTGAATCCATTACTGTAAAACTACTTGTGCTTAGGGATGCTGATGATGAACGACTGGAGATGTGAGGACACAATTTAGCAAGGAAATAAAAGAAGCAAAGAAATAAAAAATAAAAACACTGTTGTACAAATGGGACAGCCTATAAATAAACGGAGTAAATAGCTGTGAGACTGTGAGACTGTTTTGTAGGTAAGTAATGCTCCCACCCTCACAGTACTTCAGATGAAACAATTATCCCATGCTGTTTTGTATTTGTCCTTAATGAGCTCCTGTCCACTTTGTAGCGAGTTCGACCAGATGGTCATACCACGCGGTTAATAATTACAGTGGTGTAATAACAGACATACGCCACTAGGGGGAGCGCGCCCGCGTTTCTACTACCGGAAGTTGCAGCCTGTAGGTTGGAGTGTGTTTCCCCGCTGCTTCAGTGGAAACTTCGGATATGAATGTGGACAGGGATGTGGATCTGAGCAACGGCCTCGAAGATGTTCCTGTTTTGATCGACGGGAGTTCAGGTGGAAAGACATTTCCTGAATTTCAGGTAACGTTAAGTCGCATACTCTCACCGTAGAAGAAGAGTTGAGAGTAAATGTTGCAGTAACGTACACACAGAAAGTTACAAACTAACTTACATCAAGACGTTATTTTCTCTTCAAACAGACCCGTCATAGTGGAGGAAACAACGGTGTTATTAATAGCATTAACGATGGCTCTGTATGGAAGTCAGCTGTGACAGTGAGCCAGCACGCACTGTACCAGCACCTAGAAAGTATATCAGCTAAAGGGAATTGAGCCATCATTCAGTTGATCATTTACACATTAGTTTTTCTTACTGTGTCAATGCTTTAAAAAAAAAAAAAAAAAAGGCCTACTGGTGTGTAGCAGTGTGACCTCCTTCCATATCTGCTACAAGCAAGAGAATAAACCTGCCTATCAATTATGAATGACAGCACATAATAAGTCCACCAATCAAAAGTGACTTCCAGTGAGAATAAATCGGGACTCTTGTAGGGCTGTGTATTGGCAGGAATCTGGCGATAGGATACAAGGGTTAAAATTCAATATATTGTGATATATTGCAATACTGTATACAAGGCGAGATATTGTGAAAAAAAATCTAATTTTAGGAAAACTGACAGCTGCTAGTATAAAGCACACCACCATATGCGTATAATCTGAGTTACCTCTGTATGCAAGCAGAACAGAGGGATCTGTGTTTGTATTTATCACAGTCGCTGTAACATCCAATATCACAGATCTCAGCTTATGTTTATAACACTGATATCAGCGGTTGGAGGTTTGAACACAAAAGTTGATACAGTGGTTTTTACAGTCGATACAATATCACAAAACAAAATATCGCGATACGATATTTTTTAATATGTTCCTACACCTGTAGACTCTCTCTCTGCACTCTCTTCCCGTCCTGTGGGAACAGATGGACGTACAGTAGATGCATCCAAAGAGCTGTTCTTTAAAGCTGCTGCTGTATGTGTCATTCCCCTTTACATCTGACATGTTGATGTAAAGAGACACTGCAGCTCAACCATTACCGATCCTTTATAAAATACTACAATGATAATTCGACTGACAGTCGTTTTTTAAACAAAAATCCGTAGTTCTCACACTTTCTGGCGTGACCCCGTCAGAAGCCAAAATAAGTTCATTCACTCATCAATTTTTATAGTTAACATAGTTTGACTCCATATGGCCCACCATGGGGCCCACCACACAGTTTGAGAACCACTGACATACACACTAAATAGCCAATGTTTCACATAAGTTTGGAGAAAATGCACCAGGCTTGACAAAAATCTTTTCTCCATCATTCAGAAACAAGTAGATCTCTTCACATAAAAACAAACATGATATGAAGTGTCAGACTATTTCAGTAGAGAACAGATAAATCTAGTGGAAGGAACCGAACACAGCAGTTGGCACCACAGTGGCACTCTTTCCCCTGGAGTCCATCTGTCCTACTGGCCTGTATGGCAGCGTCACTCTGAGTGGACAGCAGCTCTACAGGAGGTTGGTTACTGTACCCTCCTGAGTAGTCAAACGTCAGCTCTTCTTGCGCGGCGAAAATAGCAACATGGCCAAGTGCAATATGCAAATCACAGCTCACCTGGTAGAGTTGGTGCCCCATGTACCAAGGCTGAGTCCTTGCAGCAGCGGCCATGGGTTTGACTCCAACCTGTGGCCCTTTGCTGCACGTCATCCACTCTCTCTCCCCTTAATAAGAATAAGAACTGTGGTGATATTGTGATGCTGCTATTATGTAGAAGCTCAAAGATTAAGAAAACACACTGGTGTAAGAGTCAATAGTTAGTATGTGCTTTTTCATTTTCATTACATAGCACCACCACACGCGACACTGCGTAATGGGAAACAATATCCTGATAAATATCGATTTATTTATGGTTAATTTATAACTATAAATAATTTATTTTAAGTCCTACTCATCCTTTGTACAGAAAACCTAGCTGTGGCATGAATTAATCAAAACCTGGTGGTTATCAACTCTATCAAGTGAAATGCATTGTTATACCCGCAGATGGCAGCAAATCATCGCAGGCCACAGCCACATCCTCTGACTACAGTACAGGGAATCAAAAAATAGCCTCTCTAGAACCACAGGACGTGTCCTAGATAGCACTCCTTGCTCATGATGCTCTGAGAGACCTTTCTTACTGTATTACAGTGCAGCCAGTTGGAAAAAAGACAAATCATTGCTGAATGCGGTGAAACTATAGTTGTATGTGATAATGTGGTTGTTGAATTAGGTTAATTGGTTTCAAGCTGGCAGTTGCAAAGCATTAAGAACTGTGCTTGCTTCCCATAAATTTAAATAAATTGATTAGATTTAAGGCTGAAATTACTATTTATCTGCAGATTAGTTTCCTAATTAAACTTTCAGTCTATAAAATGCCTGCCACGATATCGTAAAGCTCAAGGTGGCGTCTTCAAATGTCTTGTTTTGTCTGATCAACGGTCAAAAACCCAAATGTTCAGTTTATGTTCCCATAAGACAGAGACAGGCAGGAAAGCGTCACAACTGAGAAGCTGGAGACTGTGTGTGTTTGGCATTCCTGCTGGAAAAAAAATTAAAATCCAAATTTCTGTTAAAACACTAATTAATTGTTTCAGCTGTAAATTGAAAATTTCCAGGAATTATGGGCATATTGGCCTTATTTGCTTTTTAAACGTCTTTCTGGTTTATTTCTTATTTGGTAAACTTTGATTGCTCTTTGTTTCATCCTCCAGTATTCCCCAGATAATATTCAGGGACCAGGATGCACTGTTGACCCCAGTGAAGTCACCCTTCCTGGATGTTCCTGCCTTTCCCACTCCTGCTTTCCTGAGAGCTGCTCCTGCCTGCAGACACATGGGCAGGCATACGGCAGCACCGGCACACTGCTGAACCTTAGCAGACCAGACTGCGCTTACTGCTCGCCTTCGTTTGAGTGCAACGCCCTTTGCACCTGCAGCGACGCCTGCTCTAACCGGGTGGTGCAGAGAGGACTGAGAATCAGGTTGGAGGTTTACAGCACCAAGAACAGGGGCTGGGGAGTACGGACACTGGAGGCAATCCCACACGGGACGTTTGTGTGCGAGTATGCAGGAGAGGTGATCAGCTTTGAGGAGGCCAGGCGCAGACAGCTTGCACAGAAATCCGAGGAAAACAACTACATTATTGCCGTGAGGGAGCACGCAGGCACAGGCTCAATCACTGAGACGTTTGTGGACCCTGCCGTGGTGGGAAACGTAGGCCGCTTTCTCAACCACTGCTGCCAGCCAAACCTGTTCATGCAGCCAGTCCGTGTGCACTCGGTGGTTCCTAAACTGGCGCTGTTTGCTGGACGGAACATCGATGCGCAAGAAGAGCTGACGTTTGACTACTCAGGAGGGTACAGTAACCAACCTCCTGTAGAGCTGCTGTCCACTCAGAGTGACGCTGCCATACAGGCCAGTAGGACAGATGGACTCCAGAGGAAAGAGTGCCACTGTGGTGCCAACTGCTGTGTTCGGTTCCTTCCACTAGATTTATCTGTTCTGTACTGAAATTAGTCTGACACTGACACTTCATATCATGTTTGTTTTCATGTGAAGAGATGGACTTGTTTCTGAATGATGGAGAAAAGATTTTTGTCAAGCCTGGTGCATTTTCTCCAAATTTTATGTGAAACATTGTTTATTTAGTTTGCATCTTGGTCTATTTTCGGTTTCTGTGAAATCTTGGTTAACTCAGCCACTCATTAAAACAAGACAATGCAACATGTTGGTGGCTCCATAAAGATAATCAGCTGGATGAGTCATGTCTATGCCCGTCATTGTTTCCTGTTCGCCCTCCCCCCCAGTGTCTCCTGATCTGCAACTGTCTCCCGCTCAGTGTAAGATGATGCAATGAAAACTAAAGCTGAAGACAGAAAAAAAAAACAAGGTTTTTTTCTGGGAGAGTAAACTTGTTGACATTCCTGTCCTTTATTTCACTTGTACAATCCATTTCATCATGATGCTTGTTCCCACCAGATTTACAGTCTTGCAGCTGTAATCTTGTCTTGCCACATAAGTCCCATTTCTCACACGACAGATGAATCTGAAAGGAGCAGCAGCATCATTTCCACCGACAGGGATGAGATGGATGTTGTTCAGTGGGTTTCTTTTAATAGCCACATAGGCTACAGAATTTATCTTTATGCCCTTATGGATGCTGAAGCTTCTCGCAATAAGATGTCATGTCAGTCAAAAACAAAACATCAAAATTCTCAAAGTAATAGCTGTCATATGTTCCCATCAACCTGACATTTCTTTTCTGTCTTCATGTGATCCAGCCTCCCGTTGTAGATATTCTCAGCTTCTCATCGCACTCAAACCTCTGGAGAGTGGGAGCAATTAAAAAGGGCCAGGGGGTATTTTTTTATATAGAAACAGACTTTATTCCCCTGTCAGAGGAGGGGCGAAGGTGTCCCACTTCAGTGTGACCATTCTGAAATCAGGACCTCCGTTCAATCTGCCCCGTTTCTAGTCTAGACCTGCTTTCATCTTATTAATATCCACATCTGGGTTAATTAGGATGGAGACCGTGTTTCATCCAGAAATGGGACCAGTGGTCCAGCCACACTGGGGCTGACAGAGACTAAATGGTGGGGGGGGAGATGGAAGCCCTCTGCCGATCAGAGACCGCTGTCAAGTTGATTGGTTTCTGTGTCACCCCGTGGAGAGGCAAATGGTGCAGGATGTTGTTGTTTTGACCTATATTTTCTCCTCTGTGAGGGTTACCTGATATTTCTTTCTGTTCAAATTGGGCTGTTTGCTTTGTGCCTGATCTGATCTACACACAGGAATTAAAAACTAATCTTAAACATTTTTATGCTCGCTCTAGATGATTTTTACCTTTTTTTTCCCCCATTTTTTTCTCCTTTTCTCTCTGGAGGATTGGTGCCACCTACTGCTTATCTCAGTGGACCAGCTCCTAATAATTGCATAACGGTATTGGATAGAAACAAGCATTCATATGCTTTTTAAAATTTTATTTGCAGATTTACTCGAAATTTTGTTTAAACATTATATACATTTTGATGGAAACATGTTGTTTTTACACTTTGTATTAAACAAACGAGACAACTAAAATGAGCTTTAGAGGTGCTGGTAGGTGGATTTTGTTGCCTTCAGTCAGAGTCAGGATAACTGTTTTCCCCCCTGTTTTCAGTCTTTATGCTAAGCTATGCTAACAATCTGCTAGCGATAGCTTCAAATGTACATCAGTTGTATCAATCTTCTCATCTAACTCCGGGCAATACAGCAGATTAATGTATTTGCCAAAATGAACTATCCCTTTATACTTTTTGCAGAAGAGTGACACATACAGCAGTAGTATACATTTATTGACATCTGCAGGGTGTATGATGCATCCTCAATTTGGAGAAAAAATTTAATTTTTATAACAGATTCTAAGATACAGTGTATTTTCAGAAATACTGTACTTCCATGTGGAGGATTGTGACTCTATGTTAGCTGTGGCCTTGGAGAAAAGTAGGACACATTATGCAGAGAGTAAAATACCCAGGCATTTCTCTAACCAAAAAATGTATAGAGACTTCTGGGTCAAGGTTTCTCTCTCCACCATCAGCTAAACCGTGTGTGCAGTGGTCTGGTATTTTAGCTCCCCTACCAATAAATTCAACATTTATTTGAGGACAGGAAGCAGCCCATAATCTTTTCAAATTGTGCCCCTCTTTGTTGTGCCTTTATGATGAACCAGATTCCACAGTCCTTTCAACAAATCTACTACGAGTATAAGAAAAAGACTCTCTTCAAATGCATGACTCATGTCATTTTTGAGTCAGATGTCCCTGGAATCACTATGGCAACCGTCTGTGTGTACAGGAGGTGATTTGGACAGCAGTACTTGGTTCGGAGGTGCACGAAAGCTGCTCTCAAATGCTGACTTGAAGAGCTGGGTTGCAAATGAATGGCTCCTTTCCAGAATGGTCACCTAGCAACCACCAGTTAATCACATGAGGTAAAACTTCCCCACCAAACCCCCTCAACAAAATAACATGTCAAAGATGCTCTATAGTCATTTTTTTATGGCATTTTGAGAGTGGCGACGTCTTACATTTCAGAAAATAAATCTTTTTTTAGAAGACTAAATGTCCTCATTGTTTGAATGATTTCTGAGGTAAGCTTTTCATAGTGGTGGCTTCGACTTAATGCAGCAAAATGTTTGAAAAATTAGAGCACAAGTCAAAAATGCTGTAATATGATGTTTGATACCAAATTGACCACTGATCCTTCCTTTTACAGATTTCGTGGCACTTTGGTCATTTCAGCTAGGGATCTGTCATAATTATGTAATTCAATTCTATGTTCAAGTATTATTACTTCTAGTAGCTGCAAACCTCACTTAAAGGTCCAGTGTGAAACATTTAGGAGCATCTATTGGCAAAAATGGAATATAATATTCACAGGTATGTTTTCATAAGTGTATATTCAATTGGAAATAAAAATCATTGTGTTTTCGTTGCCTTAGAATAAGTCATTTTTATCTACAGAGGGACCGGACCATCGTGTTTATTCAGTAGCCCAGAACAAACAAACAAAAGACTGGCCTTTTGCATTTTTTTTGCAAGATTCTTGGCCAGCGTAGTTTCTCCTATATGCTTAGATGAGTCAAGGGGTTTCAGTTGGTTGCAATCTGTAACTTCACCGCTAGATATCACTAAATCCTACACACTGGTCCTTTAAAGTGAGATTATGTAACTTCTAAAAGATGAAATTTAACAAATAGTGATAATAGTTGAACTCCCTAGCTAAGCACCTTGTGGTGGCTAACCTTAGCTAATGTTAGCAAACGTTAGATAGAGTTATTGCTATGTAACTGAAATTAATTAATCAGTTAAGAGACTCTACGACTGTTATCCGTGTTATAATGTGACACTGTATTTTAGCAAGCGACAGATAGTAATGGTCTCATTCTACTTGCTCTCAGTTAGTTTGCCTAATGATCACTAATCGACTCCTTAAATATTGTTTGTTTAATCCTTACGAAAAGTGTGAGAATGAAATTTGTCTTTGTTTTGTGCTGGACTATTGCTGGACTATTTCTTGGCAGTGAGAATGGCCAGGATTTTGTTACCTTTGAAAAGCCAGGCTGTTTCCAGTCTTTCATGCGTATTGCTCCAGCTACATATTTACTGCCCAGACATGACAGTGGTATTGATCTTCTCATCAAGCTCTCCTGAGAAAGCAAACAAATGTATTTTCTTTAAAGCTATTTAAAGCAAATGGCTCAAGAAAATAAACGGGAATTGCAGCGAAGGTTACAAAGTCTCGCTTTAAGAACAGATTTTGATTCTTGTAACTAAGGTGTGTTCTGAATACGGGATCCCCTTGTTGCTGCCCCAGAGCCCCATTTAGCCTAATGAGACTTTAACCTAAATATCTTGCCAAGTGTATCATGAAAGGACAAAAGATACATATACACCTGTTACTTATGCGAACCATGCATCACATTGATAAAGGAGTCAGACACTATTTTAGGGTGAGGGAGCAGTGGAGAAATTACAACTGGCAGTCCATTTGTTCAAAACTGGAGCACCTCTCTTATGAGGGAGCAGATGTCCTTCCCTTGAATCCTGCAGCCAAATCAAGAAAAGAAAAAAAAACAAAGACCAGCAGCTATTTGCTTGGCCTCAGCTGGCAAAGGCATTTCAGAGTCCTATTTGAAACCTTTCTCTCTCTACTTTTTTATGATGTCGGCTGATAGGAGTAAATATTGGTACAGCATTAGCAGTAGCAACATTTTTTAAAGGATTTTATTTGAGACTGTATATGAAATATAAATTATATTAAGAGCTTTATTAGCTTATAGCAGAACTCATAAATGAACATTATTAATGTTATCTTCTGGCATAAATAATGAATGTATCAAATCAGTTCCTTTGAACCACATGATTCTGTACATTTATCTGTGTAATAACATGACTGTATTGACTAGATATCATCAGATTAAACAGAATATATTGAATCAGCCTTTGAACCTAGATTAATAAGATGTTCAGTAGCCAGAAAATGCTTCACCATCAAAGTAAACTGTCAAAACAAGTGAGCTGATTGTTCTTCAAAGCAGAATTTCAAAAGCTTTTTTTTAGAAACTTGACTCTTCACCCACCGACACACTATGATTTTTTCCTTCTTTTTTTTTACTCTGTCCTGTTGCGATATAGTGCAACACAGAGCAGGTTGTATTTTGCAGCTTCACGTCAGTGTTGGAGGAAGGGGATGTCAATGGGGTTTTTAAAACTGGCTCCTCCCATCACAGATGTTATGTTAAATTTGGCTGAGGACACCTGCAGCAGGCTCAGCAGGAAGTTCTGGAGCCCAAGAGGCACCCGCCTCCACAGCTGCTCTCATCACTGATCAGACCTAAACGTATGTTAACAACGCCTACACTTTGTTTACAGCACCCAAGTTCTTAATTAAGCAGTTTTGGAGCTGGCTGAGTGGAATTTAGACGCAGTATTTTTAAAATGTAAACAAAAGGTAAGAATAAATATGAGGTATTATTGTCTAGTTATGCAAGTTTCATCATAGATCCCCAAGATTTGCCTTGATTTAATCACTGTCATTATGTCCCACCACAATAACAGTCTTGTGCAATAATCCACCTCAAATGATCCCACTGAGTCAACATGCTCAGTGGGGCATGTTCATGCACTTCTTGGACCATGGTGTTGTAATTGAGGAAGACACCGATACTATACATGTCAGGCTAATTATGTGTGAGCTATTACACTAGAGGATGTCTAAACCTTGTGCAACAGCTCACGGACAAATAGTCAATCCCAAGTGTTTCTGTGCAAGATAAGCTGTGACAATCCCATTACCGGTCCTGCCTCACCTTTACAACATCCAGCACAGGCTTTGTGTTCATTCTGGAAGTGTGAACTATATTATTGTTATATATATATATGAGTTATTGTTATAACAAGCAAGGTGCTACATTTCATTGTATTATATGCCATTGTTTAACCATTAATGGTAATAAATCAACGGTAATGTGATTATTCTCATATGTGTGGATCTAAGTCAGATCGATGCTCAAGTATCTATGCCTTTTTATGGGTATATTATGAACAATATATTACTTATGCACACCGACTGATTTAGGTAACCAGATTGGTTATAAAGTGTAGCGAAAGTGATGCGAGGAGTCCCCCAACCTAACCGATCCCAATGGATTACCTGCAGTTAAAGCAGCTTATGGAACATGTTCTGGTGAGTTCAGACTACTGCCTCCTTGGCTATTGTTCTCCTTCAGCAGGATTACAGTTTTGAAGTAGCAACAGTGTGCAAAAACTGTACACGTATCTGTCTCCCCAAATAAAACACCTGGCAGATAATTTACCCTGGCATATGTGTATGGTCTGGCATAATGATTATGCCGTAACCAAGGGGATGTGTTGAAGTGTTTCTCCTTTCTGTGCACAGCGTTTATGAAGAGGGGACCAGCTGAATGTAGCTGAACATCGCTGAATGTAGCTGAATGTGAATTCTGTTTTCCATACACCGCCTGTTGTAAGACATGCACACAAAATGTAATACTATTATGACTAATACACACTCTCATGCAGATTGGCATACTTGGTCTAATTGAATCCAAGATGCAGCACAGAATGTGAAACATATTTTTCCTACATTGGTAACAAGTTATGGCAAAAAATCACAAGGCCTAATTAGAATATCTCTGCAGCTGGTCTAATCAGATTATTTCCACTGGGAATATGCAGGCCATTATACCAGCATAATTATCTTTTATTTTTAGTGAGGTAGATCTCTACCTTATACTAGGGTGCAGTACCAAT